CAACATAGAACATTTTTTCCTTCAGCATTTTTCTTAATATGCCGTTATTTTCTAACGCTTACTTACCTCCACCATTTCACTTCCTTTAATTTCTTGCTCATGAGAGAATTTTTCCGATTTGCAGACAAGCTTCCCGTTTACCATGTTCACAGTACACTGTTGAAGCAGATTTAAAAATTATAAAAAATTTTAGGTTTTGGAATTAAATTAGAATAAGTAGAGGACTACATAAATAGGAAATAAATGATACCGATGCTTCATAATCTCATCTGCTAACTTAAACTGGAGACCACAGCATTTTAATAAGAGTTTTAGAAGAAACATTTCTGTTTGTTGAAATGATAGAAATGTGTGCTAATGGAAATGGTACAAACAAGTTTCATTCATACACAGAAACTGAAGGATGAATAAAGAGATGCACCCATTCCTGAAATATGTTACCTTTAGCTTTCTGCCATCCATAGTAGTAATGTCAGCCTGTTTTCCAAGCGTAAATGAGTTAGTTACGGATTGCTTGGGTGTTTTTGATGTCACAACAAAGTCATCTCCTTTTTGTTGTATTTCAACAATAGGCTTAATATCTTTGGCGGCTCTGATAAGGTCATCTGGCAATGCTGTAAAAAAGGCAAAAAAGGACTTTTTCTGTTATGAAGTAGTGTGTTGATATGAAATAGCAGATTCTTTTCTCTGATAAAGGTGCAAAAGATACAAACCGGTAATAGAAAGTGATGTCCAAGTTAAAAGACAAATCGTGTTTTGGATTCCTCACTTCTCTATGGGCATATTGTTCCATTCCATCTAGTCTGTATAGATTTTGATACTATATTTGTTAATCTTGTGTCAGAATACGTATTGTTTCTTTCAGTAACGGCTTGCCGTGTGATGACATTTCTTCATGAAGAAAACCATGTGTGTATTATTTTGTTTCCCTCACCTCTTCCCAGGGATATTGGAGGTGGGGCTTATCTGTCTAGTCAGAGCTGCAACAGTGCAAGTAACCTCAAACTACCTTATCAGGGTGTCTCTAGCATGATTTGAGAGTATCATCTTCAGCAGCAGAGGGATTTGTTCAGGCTGTAGGACTAGGCTTTTCAACTGTAACTGAGTTTTATTCTACTAAACATCTCTTATATACGTTTAAAAACCCCAATGTGAATGTTTTGCCAAGATAGTCAAGAGGCTAAGTGCATTTTTGTTAATGTAGGCACCTACTAAGTCTATTAGTTACAGATTACCAAACAGGTATAACATACAGTAATCACTAGTGCTGTAGAAAGTGCCTGCACTACTAATAGTGCATTGGAAATCTGTATATGTCATTGACAACTTGTTTCTAGTTAAATATATTTATAAAGTTATGTGTTAATCAAAACAAGTTGATTTCTGATATGCTGCTTCTTTCATGAGGAACTCATCTGATGTTAAGATAGGGATATGGGGGTTGTCTGTAACCTTTCTACATCTATCTGTATGATTTTCAGCTTCTTTTCATTTCCAAATTAGACATAACAGACTTACCTGGCAGGGGGTAGTTTGTCATACAAACAAAAGAAAGAAACATAGAAATACAGTAATAAAAGATGTCATGCAAAGTGTGTGTTGTAATCCGAGCAAATTATTTCAAAAGTAACTTGACACTTACCAAGAGCTTTCAGAAACTCTTCATAGTTCTCTTGAGCGTAGACCTGCCAGGTTCCATTGAATGCCATTATGGATGTTATAATGCAGTTTAGGGCGGTGATGCTAGCAGGAGAGTGAGAGCTTGCCCTGGTCATTCAGATGCTATTTATGGAAAGGGAAAGGCTAGCCCGAATTGTGAGATGACTGGCTAATTATTAACCATGAAGTAACAATTATTAATCATTTATTTGTTCTTAATGATCATAACCTCTAGTTCATTCTGCTTTGTAGAAAGTCTTACCTTGACCAGCTGGTTTGGGATGTTATGTTTATTGTGGGTTCCTGAACTCGGGTAGTTATTCATAATTGTTGTAAAGTGTTGCATGGATTAATTTGTTTTCTTTTTGTTCACAACTTCTATGTTTAATACATTTCCTGTGTTTTGGATAGAATTCTTCAGATAAAATGGCATAATTTACAGTTGATGCAAGGTAATTACTGTCTTACAGCAGGAACTTCCTAATTATCACAATATTCTCTACTGTGGGCACTTGGACCTTAAAAGGTGGGAATAAAATCCACAGCTATTTCTTCCAAAATTGTGGGCCTCCAATTGCTTGAGGACAGGGAAAATCATGTTGGAGTGGGACAGTCAGTTATGACTTTATCCAGTAGATGTCAGTAATGTGCATCTAAATCTGTATTAAAGTCTTTTTTTTTTTTTTTTTTTA